CCCCACATGTGGGACATCTGGGGACACTGGGGGGAATTTGGGGGTCCCAGGGGGGCTGTGTGGGGTCAGGACTCACCTGTCCCCCTCTGTGAGGTTGTGGGGGAGTTTGGGGGGGGCCCAGGTGGTGGGGGCAGTTGGGGGGAGTGGGAAAATCCCCCCACTCCCACCCAGGGGCTGAAACAGTGGAGGATGCAGCAGCCAGGAGCCCCCAAACCCCCCATCCCCCTGGGGGCAGGGGCTGTGGGGATTTTGGGGGGATCCAGGGCGGGGTGGGGGTATTTTGTGGGACCAGCTGCCCCCCCCCAGGTGACTCTGGGGTGCTCAGGGTGGGAGCATCCAGGACCCCCCAAGCCCCCCCTGAACCCACCCGGGGGGTGCTGAGGAAGAAAGGATTTGGGGGAGGGTCCTGGGGGGTCCCGAGGGTTCGGGGGCAGTTTGGGGGGGTCGTGCCCCCCCATACCCACCTGGGGCAGTGAAGGCAGGGGGGGAGGCGGGGGTGAAGCCCCCCCCCTCGGCCAGGAGGGTGTTGTAGGGGCTGGACCCCCCCCGCGGCGGCAGCACCGGGTTGGGCAGGAGGTGCGACCCTGCGGAGAGGGAGAGGGGTCACACACGGGGGGCTGGGGGCTCTGGGGGTCCCAGGAGTGTCCTGGAGGGCTCTGAGTGGAGTCTGGGGGACCAGAGGGGTCTTTGGGGACCCCAGGACCTGTGGGGGATCAGAGGGGTCCCAGAGGATCTGGGGGGGACCCAAAGGCGTCCCAGGGGGGATTTGGGGTCCCAGGGGGTCCCGGGGAGGGGATGGGGAGTCTCAGGGGTCTGAGGTGGATCCGAGGCATCTCAGGGGGCCTGGAAAGGGGTCCTGGGCGGTCCCTGGGGGTCTGAGGGGGCCCAGAGGGATCTTTGGGGTCCCATGGGGGTTTTTGGGAGGGGTCTCACTCCATTCAGGATGGAGGGTGTTCTCTGGGGTCTCTGGGGTCTCTGGGGAGGGGTCTTACCTCTGCTGAGGGTGGAGGGTGGTCTCTGGGGTCTCTTGGGAGGGGCTCACCTCCATTCAGGGCAGGGGGGGTTCTGAGGTGTTTTTTGGGGGTGTCTCACCTCGGTTCAAGGTTGGGGTGCTGTTCAGGTCCCCCCCCATAAAACTGGACTCCGTCTGTTTCCGGACCGTGTCGTTCCACATCCTCCGGATCCGGCTCTGGGGGCACAACGGTGGGGCTGGCACCCCCAGCACCCCCCAAAAACCACCCCAGAACCCCCCAGACACCCCGGAACACCTCCGAGGGGTCCCCACATCCAGCACCCACAGCCTGGCGGGGTCTGAGGGAGGGTTTGGGTCCAGAGGGTAACACGGGGGGATCTTAGGGTGCCACAGGTAGCTCTGGGGGGTCTGGAGGGGGCCCACGTGCGTCTGGGGGGTGGTCTGGGTCTGTCACGGGGGATTTGAGGGTCTGGAGGGATTTGAGGGTGCCATGGGGAGGATCCTGGGTGTGGAATTGGTTTGGGGGCTTTGGGCTTTTGGGGTGAGGGGTTATTTAGAGGGGGGGTTGGGGGCCCCAACCTGGGTGCTGCTGTACTGCTGGGCATGAGTATGGGGGGATTATCTGGGGGGCTTTGGGGGGTCAGAGAGCTCTGAGGTGTCTGGGGTCTGTGTGACTGACAGACAGAACTAGAGTGATTGACATGTGGCCTCTGTGATTGACAGGCAGGAATAAAAGTGATTGACAGGCAATATCAGCCCCTCAGAGTGATTGACAGGCAGGATCAGCCCCTCAGAGTGATTGACAGGCAGGATCAGCCCCTCAGAGTGATTGACAGGCAGGATCAGCCCCTCAGAGTGATTGACAGGCCCCAAGAGGGATGAGGGAAGTGTGGCAGCCCCAGGATTAAAGCTGAGGAGGAAAAGGGCAAGGAAAAGTGGTGGGAAAAGTATTTAAAACATGAGGGGAAAAGGGTAGAAAAAGGGAGGGAAAAGGGATGGGAAATGTGAGCGGAAAAGAGAGGGAAATGTGAGGGGAAAGGGGAAATGTGAGGGGGGAAAGAGCAGGAAATACGAGGGGGAAATAGGCAGGAAATGTGAAGGGAAATGGGTGGGAAATGTGAGGGGAGAAAAGGGCAGGAAAAATGGGTGGAAAATGTGAGGGAGAAAAGGGCAGGAAATGAGAATAACAGAAGGAAATGTGCAGTGAAAAGGGTGAGAAACATGAGGGGGAAACAGTGAGAAATATGAGGGGGAAGGGCAGGAAATGTGATGGGGAAAAGGCAGGAAAGGTAAGGGGAAAATGATGGAAAACATGAGGGGGAAAGGGTGGGAAATGTGAGGGGGAAAAGCTGGGAAATGTGAAGGGGAAAAGGGTGGGAAAAGTGAGGGGGAAGGGCAGGAAATGTGATGGGGAAAAGGCAGGAAAGGTAAGGGGAAAATGATGGAAAACATGAGGGAAAAAAGGTGGGAGAAGTGAGAGGAAAAAGTGGTGGGAAATGTGAAGGGAATAAGAGCAGGAAACGTAGGTGAAAAGGGTGGGAAACGTGAGGGGAAATCAGTGGGAAATATGAGGAGGAAAAGGACTTGAAACATGAGGCAAAAAGGGCTGGAAGCGTGAGAGGAAAAGGGTGGCAAAAGGGTGGGAAACGAGAGGATTTCTCCCATTGAGCGGTGAGGGAAAAAGGGAGGAAGAAAGGAGTGGGAATCATGAGGGCAAAAAGGTGGGAAATATGAGGGGAGAAAGGGTGAGAAATGTAAAGGGAATAAGAGTAGGAAATGTGCCGTGAAAAGGGTGGGAAACATGAGGAGAAAACAGTGGGAAACATGAGGGAAAAAGGGGTGGCAAACCTGAGGGGAAAAAAAGGTGGGAAAGGTAAGAGAAAAAATGGCAGGAAATGTGAGGGGAGAAAAAGGTGGGGAAAGTGAGTGGGAAAAGGTTGGAAAATGTGAGGGGGGAAAGGGCAGGAAATGTGAGGGGAAAGGGGCAGGAAATGTGAGGGGAATAAGAGCAGGAAACATGAGGTGTAAAGGGTGGGAAACGTGAGGGGGAAATGGTGGGAAATGTGAGGGGAAAAAGGTGGGAAATATGGTGGGGGAAAAGAGCAGGAAAAGTGAGGGGGAAAAGGGAGGGAAACATGAGGGGGAAAAAGGTGGAAAATGTAAAAGGAAAAGGGTGGCAAACATGAGGGGAAAAAAAGGGTGGGAAAGGTAAGGGAAGAAATGGTGGGAAATGTGAGGGGAATAAGAGCAGGAAACGTGAGGTGTAAAGGGTGGGAAACGAGAGGGGGAAAAGGCGGGAAACGTGAGGGGGAAAAGGTGGGAACCGTGAGGGGGAAAGGGCAGGAAATGTGAGGGGAATAAGAGCAGGAAACATGAGGTGTAAAGGGTGGGAAACGTGAGGGGGAAATGGTGGGAAATGTGAGGGGAAAAAGGTGGGAAAGAAACGTGAGGGGGAAAAGGTGGGAAATGTGAGGGGGAAAGGGCAGGAAAAGTGAGGGAGAAAAGGGAGGGAAACATGAGGGGGAAAAAGGTGGAAAATGTAAAAGGAAAAGGGTGGCAAACATGAGGGGAAAAAAAGGGTGGGAAAGGTAAGGGAAGAAATGGTGGGAAATGTGAGGGGAGAAAAAGGTGGGAAAGGTGAGTGGGAAAAGGGTGGGAAATGTGAGGGGGAAAAGAGCAGGAAATGTGAGGGGAAAAGGGCAGGAAATATGAGGGGAAAAGGGCAGGAAATGTGAGGGGAAAGGGGCAGGAAATGTGAGGGGAAAAGGGTGAGAAAGTGAGAGGAAAAAGTGGGAAACGTGAAGGGAAAAGGGCAGGAAATGTTAAAGGAATAAGAGCAGGAAACATGAGGTGAAAAGAGTGGGAAACGTGAGGGTAAAACTGGGAAATGTGAGGGGAAAAATGTGGGAAACATGAGGGGAAAAGAGTGGGAAATGTGAGGGTAAAACTGGAAAATGTGAGGGGAAAAATGTGGGAAACGTGAGGGGAAAAGGGCAGGAAAAGTCAGGGGGAAAAGGGAGGGAAACGTGAGGGGGAAAGAGGTGGGAAACCTGAGGGGAAAAAAAGGGTGGGAAAGGTAAGGGAAATCTGAGGGGAAAAAAAGTGGGAAATATGAGAGGAAAGGGTGGGAAAAAGAAAAGAAAAAAGAGCTGGAATTGACATGGGGAATATGAAATAGAGAAGGGTGGGAAAGGTGAGAAGAGTGGGAAATGAAAGAGAAAAGATTTTAAAAGGGCAGAAAATGTGAGGAGAAAAAGGGGTGGAGAAGGGAAGAAAAAGCACAGGAAAAGAAAAAAATAGAGAGTTGGAAATGTGAGTAAGAAAAAAGGAGAAAAAACCAAAAGAAATAGGGGTTGGAAATCCCATAAACCCTCTCAGAGATCTTCCCCAGTCCCATATGGGGTCTCTGGGTGGGTGTTAATGGGATTGGGGTGTCTCTGGCGGGTGTCTGAGATGGGGTTGGGGTCTCTGGAATGGGATGGGACTTCCTGGGGGGGTCTTGGGGTGGGGGTTCTGTGAGATTTAGGGGGGCCTCTGGGAGAGTGTCTATGGGATTGTCTGTGGGATTTGGGGTTTTTCAGAGCTATGGGCCCCTATCTCTGTGAGAGATCCCTCTAAGACCCACCGTCCTGCTGGGGGGGATTCTTGGGGCTCCCCACCTGGATGCTGCTGTAGTACCAGGGGGATGTTTGAGAGGTTGTTTTTGTGTGAGTCAGGGGGGTTTTTTGGGGGTCCCCACCTGGGTACCGCTGTAGTACCAGGGCTGGGGTATAGGGGGAGGGGTTTGGGGTGGTTCTGAGGTGGTTTTGGGGTGGTTCTGAGGTGGTTTTGGGGTGGTTCTGAGGTCCTCACCCGGGTACCGCTGTAGTACTGGGGGTGGGATTTAGGGGGAGGTTTTTGGGGTGGTTTTGGGGTTGTTTTAGGGTGGGTTTGGGGTCCCCATCTGGGGGCTGCTGTAGTAGTGGCGGTGGGATTTAGGGGGAGGTTTTTGGGTGGGGTTTAGGGGGAGGTTTCTGGGGTGTTTTTGGGGTGTTCTGGGGTGTTTTGGGGTGGTTCTAAGGTGGTTTGGAGTGGTTTTGGGGTCCCCACTTGGGTGCCACTGTAGTACCGAGGCTGGGATTTAGGGGAGGGGTTTTGGGTGATTTTGGGGTTTTTTTGGGGTTCCCACCTGGGTGCCGTTGTAGCACCTGGTGTGGGGTTTAGGGGGAGGTTTTTGGGATGATTTTGGGGTGGTTTAGGGTGGGTTTTGGGTCCCCACCTGGGTGCCGTTGTAGCAGCGGGGGTGGGGTTTAGGGGGAGGTTTTTGGGATGATTTTGGGGTGGTTTAGGGTGGGTTTTGGGTCCCCACCTGGGTGCCGCTGTAGCACCTGGTGTGGGGTTTAGGGGGAGGTTTCTGGGATGATTTTGGGGTGGTTTAGGGTGGGTTTGGGGTCCCCACCTGGGTGCCGCTGTAGTACCGGGGGTGGGCGCGGGCGGCCGAGGGTTTGAGGGCGCCCAGGGAGGTGCCGGGGGGGCCCCTGAGGCAACACCCCGAGTGCCGCAGGCACTTGCTGAGCTCCCGGTGCACCTGGGACACACCAGAAACACACCAGTAACACACCAGTAACACACCAGTAAAACCCAGTAATACAAGTAACACACCGGTAACACACCAGTAACACACAGTAACACCCAGTAATACCAGTAACACACCAGTAACACCAGTAACACCCCACTAACACCCAGTAACACACCAGTAACACCCAGTAACAAACCAGTAACACACCAGTAACACCAGTAACACCAGTAACACACCAGTAACACACCAGTAAAACCCAGTAATACAAGTAACACACTGGTAACACACCAGTAAAACACAGTAACGCACCAGTAACACCCAGTAATACCAGTAACACACCAGTAACACCAGTAACACCCCCCGGTGACCCAGTAACACACCAGTAACACACCAGTAACACACCAGTAACACACCAGTAAACCCCAGTAATACAAGTAACACACCGGTAACACACAGTAACACCAGTAACACACAGTAACACCAGTAACACACCAGTAACCCACCAGTAACACCCCAGTAACACCAGTAACACCCCAGTAACACCAGTAACACCCCAGTAACACCAGTAACACCCCAGTAACACCAGTAACACCCCAGTAACACCAGTAACACCCCAGTAACACCAGTAACACCCCAGTAACACCAGTAACACCCCAGTAACACCAGTAACACCCCAGTAACACCAGTAACACCCCAGTAACACCAGTAACACCCCAGTAACACCAGTAACACCCCAGTAACACCAGTAACACCCCAGTAACACCAGTAACACCCCAGTAACACCAGTAACACCCCAGTAACACCAGTAACACCCCAGTAACACCAGTAACACCCCAGTAAAACCCAGTAATACAAGTAACACACTGGTAACACACCAGTAACACACAGTAACGCACCAGTAAAACCCAGTAATACCAGTAACACCCCAGTAACACCAGTAACACACCAGTAACAAACCAGTAACACACCAGTAACACACAGTAACACCCAGTAATACCAGTAACACACCAGTAACACCAGTAACACACCAGTAACAAACCAGTAACACGCCAGTAACACCCAGTAACAAACTAGTAACACACCAGTAACACCAGTAACATACCAGTAACACACAGTAACACCCAGTAATACCAGTAACACACCAGTAACACCAGTAACACACCAGTAACAAACCAGTAACACGCCAGTAACACCCAGTAACAAACTACACCAGTAACAAACCAGTAACACACCAGTAACACACAGTAACACCCAGTAATACCAGTAACACACCAGTAACACCAGTAACACACCAGTAACAAACCAGTAACACGCCAGTAACACCCAGTAACAAACTAGTAACACACCAGTAACACCAGTAACATACCAGTAACACACAGTAACACCCAGTAACACACCAGTAACACCAGTAACACCAGTAACACCCAGTAACACCAGTAACACCCAGTAACACCAGTAACACCAGTAACACACCAGTAACACCAGTAACACCAGTAACACACCAGCCACACCTAGTAACACCTAATAACACCCAGTAACACTCAGTAACATCCCAGTAACACCAGTAACACACGAGTAACACCCAGTAACACCAGTAACACACCAGTAACACCAGTAACACCCGTAACACCAGTAACACACCAGTAACACCCAGTAACACCAGTAACACCCGTAACACCAGTAACACACCAGTAACACCAGTAACACCCGTAACACCAGTAACACACCAGTAACACCCAGTAACACCAGTAACACCAGTAACACACCAGTAACACCAGTAACACCCAGTAACACCAGTAACACACCCAGTAACACCAGTAACACACCAGTAACACCAGTAACACCCGTAACACCAGTAACACACCAGTAACACCCAGTAACACCAGTAACACCAGTAACACACCAGTAAAACACCAGCAACACCCAGTAACACCCAATAACACCCAGTAGCACACAGTAACACACCAGCAACACCAGTAACACCAGTAACACTCAGTAACATCCCAGTAACACCAGTAACACACCAGTAACACCCAGCAACACCCAGTAACACACAGTAACACACAGTAACACCAGTAACACACCAGTAACACCAGTGACCCCCAGTAACAGCCCAGTAACACCCCAGTAACAGCCCAGTAACACCCAGTCCTCCCATGCATCTGGGAGGGACCAGGGAGGCGGGGTTAATACCCACCAGCTCACCCCAGTAACCCCCAGTAACCTCCCAGTGCCCCCAGTGCCAGATGCTTCCTGAGCTCCTGGTGCAACTGGGTGCCCACCAGTAACAACCCAGTAACCCCCCCCATTACTGTCCCAGTGCCTCCCCAGTCCCTCCCAGTGGCCTCCCAGTGCCCTTGTTAATGATCTCTGGAGGTCCCACTCTCCCAGTTCCCCCCAGTCCATCCCAGTGCCCTTCATTCATGCTCTCTGAGGATCCCAGTCTCTCCCAGTGCCCCCCAAATCTTTTTCTGGAGGGCACAGTGGAAGAGGAAGATGAAGGTGCCCATGTGGTGTCCTCCCAGTCCCTGCATTCCTAATCTCTGGGTGTCCCACTATCTCCCAGTGCCTCCCAGTGCGTCCTCAGTCCCTCCCAGTTCCTCCCTGTGACCCCCAGTCTCCCCCAGTCTCTCCCTCCTCCTTCTTCTGGAGGGCTCAGTGGAAGAGGAAGATGAAGGTACTTGACCGAAGTCCCCCCTGTGCCCTCCCACTGTCCCTTACCCATGATCTCAGGGTGCCCCAGTCCCTCCCAGTTTCTCCCAGTCCCTCCCAGTGCCCCCCGCACCTTCATCTGGAGGGCGCAGTGGAAGAGGAAGATGAAGGTGCTCAACTGATGTCCCCTCTGTGTCCTTCCCCTGTCCCTCACCCATGATCTCTGTGTATCCCAGCCCATCCCAGTGCCCTCCCAGCACCTCCCAGTCCCTCCCAGTGCCCCCAGTGCCCCCCGCACCTTCTTCTGGAGGGCGCAGTGGAAGAGGAAGATGAAGGTGCCCTGCAGGGCGTTGCAGGCCGTGAACAGCGACGCCGTCAGCACAGACTCGCGGGTGACGAAGAGGAGCCCGAAGGCCCAGGTGAGCCCCAGCAGCAGCAGCAGCGCGATGGCCCCCAGCGCCCACGACCTGCGGGGCACCCCGGTCAGCTGGGGGCACTGGGATGGTACTGGAAGGGACTGGAGGGCAGTGGGAGGCACTGGGGGGATGCTGGGAGGGACTGGAGGGTACTGGGAGGGTATGGAGGGCAGTGGCAGGGCACTGAAGGGCACTGGGAAGGACTGGGAGGGTACTGGGAGACACTGGGGGTACACTGGGAGGGTACTGGGAGGGACTGGAGAGCAGTGGGAGGCATTGGGGGGACACTGGGAAGGACTGCAGGGTGCTGGGGGACACTGGGGGGGACACTGGATGGGACTGGAGGGCAGTGGGAGACACTGGGAGGGTACTGGGAGGGACTGGAGCGCAGTGGGAGGCACTGGGGGGCACTGGGAAGGACTGGGAGACACTGGGGGGACACTGGGAGGGTACTGGAAGGGACTGGAGCGCAGTGGCAGGGCACTGAAGGGCACTGGGAAGGACTGGGAGGGTACTGGGATGCCCAGCACCCACAGCCAGGGAGCTCTAGGGGAGTGGACCCCATTTTGGGGTCCCTCCCTGCCCTGTTTGGGGTCCTGTTTGGGATGCACTCATTCAGGGGTCCCGCTTGGGTTCCCCCTGTTCAGGATCTCATTTGGGGCCCCCTGAACTCAGGGGTCTCATTTGGGGTCCCCCATTTGTGGGTGCCCTTTGGGGGTCCCATCTGGGGTCCCTCCTGTCTCTGCAGGTCCCCCAGTTCGGGGGTCCCGTTTGGGGTCCATCCCTCCCTGTTTGGAGCCTCCCCCAGTTCAGGGGTCCCGTTTTGGGTTCCCCTCTGTGGGATTCTGTTTGGGGCCCATCCCTCCCCATTTGGAGTCCCCCCCAGTTTGGGGGCCATTTGGGGTTTCCCTTTGGGGTCCCATTAGGTCCCCCCCTTTGGGGTCCTGTTTGGGGTTTCCCTGTAGGGTCCTGTTTGGGGTTTCCCTTTGGGGTCCTGTTTGGGGTCCCCCCCTTGGGGGTCCCGTTTGGGGTCCCCCACCTGATGCTGTCCAGGCGGCTGGAGTCAGGTTTGAGGGCGGCCGAGCTGCGCAGCATCTTGTGCAGGGTCACCAGCAGGAACACCAGCGTCACCTGCAGGACCCCAGGTGAGACACGGGGGGACCCAGAGCCACAGGGGGACCCCAGGTGAGATACGGGGGGACCCCAGGTGAGACACGGGGGGACCCAGAGCCACGGGGGGACCCCAGGTGAGACACGGGGGGACCCAGAGCCACAGGGGACCCCAGGTGAGACACGGGGGGACCCAGAGCCACAGGGGGACCCCAGGTGAGATACGGGAGGACCCAGAGCCACAGGGGACCCACCCAGAGCCACAGGGGACCCCAGAGCCATAGGGGAACCCCAGAGCCACTGTGGGACCCACCCTGAGACACCAGGGGACTCCAGAGCCACAGGGGACCCCAGATGAGACACGGGGTGACCCCACAGACACTGGGAGACCCCAAACCCACTGTGGGACCTGCCCAGAGCCACTGCAGGACCACCCTGAGACACGGGGGGACTCCACAGACACGGGGGGACCCCAGACCCATTGTGGGACCCTACAGCTGCCCTATGGCGTGATCCCCATTGGGGTTGCCCCAGCCCCCCCCAGCCCCCGCTGAGGCCCCCCAAGCCCTCTCAGGCTCCCATATGAGGATGAGGAAGGTCCATCCCCAGACCCCCCAGACTCCCCACAAGCCCCCTGAGGTCCCCATCCCCCCATCTGAGCATGACAAAGGTCCATCCCTGGTCCCCCAGTCCCCCAAACCCCCCAGCCCCCCCTTACGAGGATGACGAAGGCCACAGGCCCGATGAAGCTCCAGATGAAATAATTGTCCACCCGCAGCCAGCACCTGCCAGGGGCGGGGCGTCACCAGAACATGCCCCCCCCGGGTGAGACCACGCCCCCATGGGTCAGACCCCACCCCCACTGACAAAGCCCCTCCCCCAGAGCCCCCATCCACACCTGGTGAGTCCCACAGCAGCACCTGTAGCCCCACCCTGCTTCAAGCCACGCCCCTTGACTCAGGCCACACCCCCAGCCCCTCCATCCATACCTGTCACTCCCAATGGGGAAGCCCCGCCCCCAGCCTGGGCCACACCCCCTAAACCAGGCCACACCCCCAGATTTCCATACACACCTGGTCACTCCCCAAGGGGGAAGCCACACCCCAGCCACACCCTGACCACACCTCAACCACACCCTGACTACATCCCCCAGACACACACTGATCACACCCCAGACACACCCCAGCCACACCCTGATCACACCCTGGTCACACTCTGGCCACACCCTGACCACACCCCAGACACACCCTGATAACACCCTGGCCACACCCTGACCACACACCCTGACCACCCTAGCCACACACTGGTCACACCTTGGCCACACCCCAACCACACCCTGACTACATCCCCCAGACACACACTGATCACACCCTGGCCACACCCTGACCACACCCCAGACACACCCTGATCACACCCTGATCACACCCTGGCCACACCCTAGCCACACCCCAGACACAGCCTGACCACACCCTGACCACACCCTGGCCACACCCCTGGCCACACCCTGGCCACACCCCAGCCATGTCTTGGACCCACCCAGCCCCACGCCCTGCCCCGCCCAGCCCCGCGCCGCGCTCACGCCTGGTCGGTGCCGTAGCTGCGGTGGTCCACGGCGGCGGCCACGGCCACCACGACGGCGGGGAAGAAGTACCCCCCCGCGTAGTAGTACTTGCGGCGGGCGGGGTCGCTGTCGAACACCTCGAGCAGCAGCAGGTACAGGTGAACCCCCTCCAGGCACAGCCACGAGAACGACGCCAGGAAGAAATAGTGCAGCAGCACGGCGAAGATGGGACAGGCCACCTGCGGGGATGGGGACGTGTGGGGACGGGTGGGGACAGCGTGGGGACAGGGACTGCCCGAAGGTGGGACAGGGACAGGGACAGGGACAGGGACAGGGACAGGGACAGGGCGAAGGTGGGACAGGGACAGGGACAGGGACTGGGACTGGGACTGGGACAGGGACTGCCTGAAGATGGGACAGGGGACAGGGGACAGGGACAGGAACAGGGACGGGGAGAGGGACAGGGTCAGGGACAGGGACTGCCCAAAGATGGGACAGGGAGCACCCAGAGATGGGACAGGCTACCTGTGGGCATGGGGACATGTGGGGACAGGGACAGCAGGGACCACCCAAAGATAGGAGAAATCACCTGCAGTGACAGCGGTTGAGGGACAGGGACAGGGATGGGGACGGGGACAGGGATGGGGATGGAGACGGGGACGGGGACAGGGATGGGGATGGGGACAGGGACAGCCAGAAGGGTGCTATGGGTGGTCCCTTGGGAGCCCCAAATGTGCCACGGGGTGTCCTGGGATGTCCCCGCTGTGTCACGGGTGGTCCCCTGGGGATCCCAGGTGTCACAGGGGTGCCATGGGCTGCCCCACAGGGGTGCTGTGGGGTGCAATGGGACATTCCAGGGGTCTCAGGGCTGTTCTGGGATGTCCCAGGTGCGCCATGGGCAGTCCCAGGTGTGATGTGGGATGTCCCAGGTGTGCCATAGAGTGTCCCTCAGGGGTCCCAGGTGTGCCATGGGCTGTCCTTCAGGGGTCCCAGGTGTGCCAGCCCCACCTGGTACTGCGTCTTGTCGATGCCCACGAGGAAGAGCAGCTCGGCGAGGAAGAGGCTGATGCAGAGGTTCTTGTGGATGGTGGTGCGCTCCGAGGGCAGCCCCCGCAGGCAGCAGAAGGCCGAGATGGACAGGCCCAGGCACAGCAGGGCCACCAGGATCCCTGCCCAGGTGATCACCGACAGCAGCACCTCGTTCAGCCGCCCCGGGAACTGCGGGAAACGGGGGGAAAATGGGAATTCCGGGGGCATCTGGAGTTATGGGATCCAGTCATGGTCATGGGCAGGGACAGTGACCACCAGGGAGGGACATGGGCCACCAGGATGGGACAGGATCCCTGCCCAGGTGATCACCGACAGCAGCACCTCCTTCAGCCACCCTGGGAACTCTGGGGAACAGGGGAAAATGGGAATTCTGGGCATTTAGGGAGTGTTTGGGGTCGTCTGGATCCATGGGCATGGACAGGGGCCACCAGGAAGGGACAGGATCCCTGCCCAGGCGACCACCACCAGCAGCACCTGAATGAAGGCTCAGCTGCTCTGGGAACTGTGAAAATGGAATTTTGGGGAGGAGTGAGAGATTTGGAGGGGGTTGGGACTGAGACGAGGTCAGGGGAGGGACAGGGGCCTCCAGGAGGGGGCAGGGGCCAGCAGGATCCTCAAGCAGGTGATCCCAGGTGTGCCGCAGCTCTCTCAGGTGTGCCCAGGTGTGTGCCCAGGTGTGTCACTCATGCTCTGTCTCTGGGCCATCAGCAGGGGCAAGTTGGTCAGGTGTCATGGGGTGTGTGCCCCACGTGTCCCAGGTGTGTTCCCAGGTGTGCCAGGCCATGCCCAGGTGTGCCCAGGTTTGTGTCCAGGTGTACCCAGCCATGCCCAGTTGTGCCCAGATATGTGTCCCAGGTGTGTGCCCAGGTTTGTGTCCAGGTGTACCCAGCCATGCCCAGGTGCACTCATGCTGTGTCTCCATGCCATCAGGAGGGCAAAGTTGGTCAGGTGTCACTGGGTGTGTGGGTGTGTGCCCAGGTGTACCCAGCCATGCCCAGGTGTGCCCATGCCTAGGTGTGCTCCAGGTGTATCCAGGCATACCCAGGCAAACCCAGGTGTGCCCAGGTGTGCCCAGGTGTGCCACTCACACTCTGGCTCCGGGCCATCAGCAGGGCAGAGTTGGTTAGGTGGCTGCAGGTGTGTGTGTGCGCCCAGGTGTCCCCAAGGGTGTGCCCAGGTGTACCCAGCCATACCCAGGTGTGCCCAGGTGTGCCACTCAGGCTCCGGGCCATCAGCAGGGCAAAATTGGTCAGGTGGATGCAGGTGTGTGTGTGTGTGTGTGTGCCCAGGTGTGCCCAGGTGTGCCCAGCTGTGTACCCAGCCATGCCTAGGTGTACTCCAGGTGTTCCCAGGTGTGCCCAGCCATACCCAGGTGTGCCCAGCTGTGCCCAGTCATGCCCAGCTGTGCCCAGGTGTGTACCCGGCCGTGCCTAGGTGTACTCCAGGTGTACCCAGGTGTACCCAGGTGTGCCAGGTGTGCCACTCACGCTCTGGCTCCGGGCCATCAGCAGGGCGAAGTTGGTCAGGTGGCTGCAGGCGCACGAGCTGTGGGTGCCGTTGGAGCGCAGCAGGCGGCAGCCCTGGCTCGACCAGTGCCCGGCCATGGAGCGCTCCGAGTAGTTCCAGAAGGAGCAGTTGGCCCCAAAGTGGTTCTTGGTCTGTGAAATGGGGGAAAATTGGGGAAAATCAGGGAAAATCGGGGAAATGGGGGTCCCAAAGAGAGGGGGCCCCAATCTCGGTAATTCCAGAAGGAGTAGTTGGTCCCAAAGTGGTTCTTGGTCTGTGAAATGGGGGGAAATTGGGGGAAAATGGGGGTCGCAGAGGGTCCCAAGGACAGGGAGAGGGGCCCAATCCCGGTAATCCCACAAGTTCATCTCAAAGTGGTTCTTGGTCTGGGAAATGGGGAAAAACCGGGGAAATGGGGGTCCCAAAGAGAAGGTGGGCCCCAAGCCCAGTAATTCCAGAAGGAGCAGTTGGCCCAAAGTGGTTTTTGATATGGGACAAAGGGAAATGGGGAAAAACGGGGTATGGGGGGAAATGGGGAAATGAGGAGAAAATGGGGGTCCCGAAAAGAGGGAGAGGGGCCCAATCCCACTAATTGCAGGAGAAGTTGGCCTCAAAGTGGTTCTTGGTCTGGGGATCTGGGTGGGGAATGAGGGGTCCTGGGAGGTCTGGGGGCCTCTGGGTGTGGGTTTGGAGGTCTCGGTGGGATTTTGGGAGTCCTGAGTGGTTCCCAGGTGCTGTGTGGGGTTTGGGGTGTCCTGGGAGGGTTCCCAGGTCCTGGGTGTGCCATGAGGGGTCTGGGTGGGTTTTTGGGGGTTCCACCTCGAGGTGGCGCAGGGTGAAGACCTCGACGTGGGTCCAGGCGAAGTTTTGGATGTCCCAAAACATCCAGATTTGGGGATTTGGGGTCTCTGGGTGCAGTTTTGAGGGTCCCAGGGAGTTTTGGGGTTCGGGGTGGGTTTTGGGGGTCACACCTCCAGGTGGGGCAGGGTGAAGACCACGGGGTCCCGCAGGAAGACCCTGCTGGACTCTTTGTTGATGGAGGCGGCGATGACCTGGGAGTTGACCACGAGCTGGGGGGCGCGGGGCCCCCCGTCCCCCCCGAGCCGCACGGTCGCGTTCTCGGTGGGCAGGAACAGCCCCAGGTTGTTGTACAGGATGAAGACAACCTTCACCACCCCTGGGGAGACGGCGGGTCAGAGACACCAAAAAACACCCAAAACCATCACAAAAACACCCCAAAAACACCAAAAAACCCACCCAGATCCCCCTTCACCACCCCTGGGGGAGCTGCAGGTCAGAGACACCCCTTGACCGTTCCAGCTGCTCTGAGGGTGCCCCCCGTTCCCCCAGGACCCCCCAAACCACCCCAACCCCCAATGTGTACCATTCCTGCTGTTCTGTTTGGGGGTGCCCTGGGTGCCCCAAACCCCCCAAGCTCCCAGGACCCCCCGGACCCCCAGACGTGCCCCCCCTCACCGTTCCTGCTGTTCTGTTTGAGGGTGCTGGCCGAGAGCTGGATGGAGCCGTCACCCCCCAGCTCCTGCGGGAACACGAGCTCCTGGAGGGGCCCCTCGGTGTTCAGCACCGACACCTCCAGCACTGCCAAACACAGGGAAAAAACATGGAAAATATGGAAAAACAGGGAAAAAACATGGAAAAACATGTAAAAAACATGGAAAACACGAGCTCCTGGAGGGGCCCCTCGGTGTTCAGCACCGACACCTCCAGCACTGCCAAACACAGGGAAAAAACATGGAAAATACATGGAAAAAATGGAAAAACATGGAAAACAGGAGCTCCTGGAGGGGATCCTCGGTGTTCAGCACCGACACCTCCAGCACTGCCAAACACAGGGAAAAAAACTGGAAAATACATGGAAAAACCATGGAAAATATGGAAAAACATGGAAAAAACCATGGAAAATACATGGAAAAAACGGAAAAACATGGAAAACACGAGCTCCTGGAGGGGCCCCTCGGTGTTCAGCACCGACACCTCCAGAGCTGCCAAAAACAGGGGGAAAACATGGAAAATATGGAAAAACAGGAAAAAAAACATGGAAAATACATGGAAAAAACATGGAAAATACATGGAAAAACATGGAAAAACATGGTAAACACATGCTCCTGGAGGGGCCCCTCGGTGTTCAGCACCGACACCTCCAGCACTGCCAAACACAGGGGAAAAACATGGAAAATATGGAAAAACAGGGGGAAAAGCGTGGAAAATACATGGAAAAAACGTGGGAAATATGGAAAAAAACATGGAAAACACGAGCTCCTGGAGGGGCCCCTCGGTGTTCAGCACCGACACCTCCAGCACTGCCAAAAAAAGGAAAATAAACATGGAAAATATGGGAGAACATGGAAAATACATGGAAAATACATGGAAAAAATGGAAAAACATGGAAAACACGAGCTCCTGGAGGGGCCCCTCGGTGTTCAGCACCGATACCTCCAGAACTGCCAAAAACAGGGAAAAATGGAGGGGCCCCTCGGTGTTCAGCACCGACACCTCCAGCACTGCCAAAAACAGGGAAAAAAACAATGGAAATACAGAAAAACATGGAAAACACGAGCTCCTGGAGGGGCCCCTCGGTGTTCAGCACCGACACCTCCAGCACTGCCAAAAACAGGGAAAAAAACAATGGAAATACAGAAAAACATGGAAAACACGAGCTCCTGGAGGGGCCCCTCGGTGTTCAGCACCGACACCTCCAGCACTGCCAAAAACAGGGAAAAAAACAATGGAAATACAGAAAAACATGGAAAACAGGAGCTCCTGGAGGGGATCCTCGGTGTTCAGCACCGACACCTCCAGCACTGCCAAACACAGGGAAAAAACATGGAAAATACATGGAAAAACCATGGAAAATATGGAAAAACATGGAAAAAACCATGGAAAATACATGGAAAAAACGGAAAAACATGGAAAACACGAGCTCCTGGAGGGGCCCCTCGGTGTTCAGCACCGACACCTCCAGAGCTGCCAAAAACAGGGGGAAAACATGGAAAATATGGAAAAACAGGAAAAAAAACATGGAAAATACATGGAAAAAACATGGAAAATACATGGAAAAACATGGAAAAACATGGTAAACACATGCTCCTGGAGGGGCCCCTCGGTGTTCAGCACCGACACCTCCAGCACCGCCAAAAACAGGGAAATAAACCATGGAAAATACATGGAAAAAACATGGAAAACACGAGCCCCTGGAGGGGATCCTTGGGGTTCAGCACCGACACCTCCAGCACCGCCAAAAACAGGGAAATAAACCATGGAAAATACATGGAAAAAACATGGAAAACACGAGCCCCTGGAGGGGATCCTTGGGGTTCAGCACCGACACCTCCAGCACCGCCAAAAACAGGGAAATAAACCATGGAAAATACATGGAAAAAACATGGAAAACACGAGCTCCTGGAGGGGATCCTTGGTGTTCAGCACCGACACCTCCAGCACTGCCAAAAACAGGGAAATAAACCATGGAAAATATGGAAAAACAGGGAAAAACCCATGGAAAATATGGAAAAACAGGGAAAAACCCATGGAAAATACAGAAAAACAGGCAAAACATGAGCTCTTGGAGGGGACAGTCAGTGTTCAGCACTGACACCTCCAGAACTGCCAAAAACAGGGAAAAACCCATGGAAAATACAGAAAAACAGGCAAAACATGAGCTCTTGGAGGGGACAGTCAGTGTTCAGCACTGACACCTCCAGAACTGCCAAAAACAGGGAAAAAAGCATGGAAAATATGAAAAAACAGGGAAAAAATGAAAAAAAAGAGATAGAGAATATGGACAAAAACATGGAAAATATGGGAGAAAACCCATGGAAAATATGGAAAAACATGGAAAACAGGAGGTCCTGAAGTGGCCACTGACACCTCCAGAACTGGGTGAAAACATGGGAAAAATATGGAAAACTTGGAAAAAATATGGAAAATATGGAAAAACCATGGAAAATATGGAAAAGAACATTGAAAATATGGAAACATCTGGAAAAAAATAGGAAATATGGAAAACCATGCAAAAACAGGAGCTCCTGGAATAGCTACTTGGGTGTTCAGCACCGACACCTCCAGAACTGCCAGAAACAGGGAAAAACATGGAAAATATGGGAAAAAACCCTGTTGAAAACATGGAAAAACAGAGAAAACACGAGCTCCTGGAGTGGCCCCTCAGTACTGAGCACCGACGCCTCCAGAATTGGGGGAAACCAGGGAAAACAATGCAGCAGCCACAGGGCCTGCAAGGGCTCCCTGGCGGTCACCAGCCCAAGATAAGAAATGCCAAGTCACGATGACGGGACCTAAGAAGCCGCTCTTTCGCCTTCGGACCCTCGTTACCTCGCTGTAAGACCCTAGGTCATTTTCTCTCGATCCTTACTATTGGACTGTTTCCCAAAACTCCTATCTCCTGTGTAAAGCCCTGTTTCTGCCCAGTTCTGCAGAAGAGCTGTCACTGAGAGACCCTTCACAGGAGCTGCCAATAAAGACACCTCTGCGGAACCTCACACAGCCCCTCCTTTCTCTCCCTGCGTCTGCCGAGGCACTTAGCAAGCAAAGAGCTGAAATCACTATAGAGCTGAATTCGACAAAGAGCTGAAATTGCTAAAGAGCTGAAATCACCAAAGAGCTGAAATCCCCAAAGAGCTGAAATCGCTTAAGAGCTGAAATCCCCAAAGAGCTGAAATCGCTTAAGAGCTGAAATCCCCAAAGAGCTGAAATCGCTTAAGAGCTGAAATCCCCAAAGAGCTGAAATCGCTTAAGAGCTGAAATCCCCAAAGAGCTGAAATCGCTTAAGAGCTGAAATCCCCAAAGAGCTGAAATCGCTTAAGAGCTGAAATCCCCAAAGAGCTGAAATCGCTTAAGAGCTGAAATCCCCAAAGAGCTGAAATCGCTTAAGAGCTGAAATCCCCAAAGAGCTGAAATCGCTTAAGAGCTGAAATCCCCAAAGAGCTGAAATCGCTTAAGAGCTGAAATCCCCAAAGAGCTGAAATCGCTTAAGAGCTGAAATCCCCAAAGAGCTGAAATCGCTTAAGAGCTGAAATCCCCAAAGAGCTGAAATCGCTTAAGAGCTGAAATCCCCAAAGAGCTGAAATCGCTTAAGAGCTGAAATCCCCAAAGAGCTGAAATCGCTTAAGAGCTGAAATCCCCAAAGAGCTGAAATCACCAAAGAGCTGAATTCACCAAAGAGCTGAAATTGCTAAAGAGCAGAAATTGCTAAAGAGCTGAATTCACTAAAGAGCTGAAATCCCCAAAGAGCTGAAATCGCTTAAGTGCTTGGCTTGCTAAATTGCTGCAGCTGTAGCCTTCCTGAGGGACTAAAGAGCTGAAATCACCAAAGAGCTGAAATTGCTAAAGAGCTTGGCTTGCTAAATTGCTGCAGCTGGTAGCCTGCCTGAGGGGCCTGCACAGGTTGTGCTTAGCTGGACCTCACTGTCCAGACACCCCCGGCAGCCAGGGTTGGACAGACCCCTAAAACCCTAAGCCATAATAAAACAACATCAAAAAACAGGAAAACACATGGAAAATATGGGAAAAAAACATGGAAAATATGGAAAAACACAGAAAACATGAGCTCCTGGAGCGGCCCCTCGGTGTTGAGCACTGACACCTCAAGAACAGAGGGAAAACATGGAAAAAAATGCTGAATAAACATGGAAAAACATGGAAAAACATGGAAAACAGGAGCTCTTGGAGCAGCCCCTCGGTGTTCAGCACTGACACCTCCAAAACTGCCAGGAAACACAGAAAAACATGGGAAAACACAGAAAAACACAGGAATAACGCAGGAAAAGCCGTGTGTCACACAGAGCCCGCGGGAACATGTGTGTACCACCCACAGGAGACCCTCCATGCTCAGGGAATTGGGGTGGGGGTCCCCAAGCTGGGGCTGGGGGGTGGGAGATGATCCAGGGAGGGAACAGGGGTGGGAGAGGCCCCTGGAGACCCCGGGGAGGGGTTGGAGGAGAGCGTCACTGTCCCAGGGATGAGTGGGGATTGGGAATTTGGGATTTCAGATTTGGGAATTGGGATTGGGATTGGGGATT